GGCACCGACTCCTCACTGCCATCCTGGACCGCCGCACACGCCGCAACCGTGCCTGCTGCCACCGCTGCGCCCGCCTGGCAGCTCGCGGCTGCGAGATGACCGGGTGGCGCAACCCCTGCTGTTTCTGCTGCATGTCCTGCTGTTGCTGCTGCTGCTCCTGCTGTGTCCAGCTGTGCTGGCTCTGCACCTGGAGAGAGCAGCAAGGACACCTCGCCCTCCAAACGTTGGTCAGCAACTGATTGTGCCTCTGCACTCGCTGCTGCCATTGGCGGCGGGCCCCCCACTGAAGCCAAGGGCCCCGCGGCGCACGCGGCTACCGTATCGTTGCTGCTCTGCCCGCCACCGCCACCGGCTGTGACCAGCATGACGCCGCTTGGTGACGGCCCTGTTTGCTGCTGCTGCTGCTGCTGCTGCTGCTGCTGCTGCTGCTGCTGCAGGGTGGGTGGCGGCAGCGGTGTGAAGCCGGCCGGCAGCTGCCCCGCAGGCGGCAACCCAATGTCAGACAGGCACGCGTCCCCTGAGACCAACCGAGCGTAGAATCGCTCGACCGCCTTTCAAACATTGGTTGAGACGCGACGGTCGTTTGGGAGTCAGCAAGCGTGCCGTTGACGACGGATCCATGGCGCAGCGCAGCTGGGTTAAATGCTTCGTCCATGCGGCACGGCGCGTCAGTGTCACCCGCAAGCCGCGCCTCGCAGCACTGACCCCGCGGCATGCGGGTGCCGGCGGCGCGCCGTGCCGCACGGGACAAGCAGTCCATGCGACGCAGGGGTTGCATGGGCCCTTCCTCCCCTGCCGCGCCCACCAAACGATGCATGCGCACCAAGCATTCCGGGCGGTGCGGTACTCAAATATGACGCATTCCATTCCAATGTATATGTGTGCGATGTACAGCGACCCACCGACCAATCGCGCCCGTGGTTGAGGAACCGGCTCATGCGCCGCCAGCACCAGCCTTCGCTCGCCCAGGGCAGCGGCGGATTCTCCCTCCCGCCCGTGCCGCTGTCATGCGCCGCTAGACTACCGGCAGACGCTGATGGAAGGGAGGCCGCTGCTACGGCTGATGCGCCGCCGCCCTCGTGGGCCCCCATGACAGCGGCGGCGCCAGCGTGGAAGCCCGCCACCCGCCCCAGGGGTGCAGCAGAAGGGCGCAGAAGAAATGATGAAGGGATGCGGTTTTGTATGCACAGTGACAGGTTGGGGCGGCAGCTGCGCATAAGCACCAAGTCCAGTGATTTTAGCCAAAGTGATCAGAGCTGACAGATGCCAATGTGTTGGTTGACTGCAAGCCTCACAAGAGTTTGCACACAGGAAATAGCCCTCAACCCTCTCAGATCAACGCTAATGGCGACACGACCCCTCTTCGCGAGGCCCATTCATTTGCTAGCGGTGCTGTGGTTCTTGGTGCACATACCCACCACGCTTTTGATCGACATCCAGTCAAGTGGGTCCCGGCCTTGGGACTGGAAAAGCTTCCCGTGCCGCTCGCTCACGCTGCCTCGAGGCGCATGCAATCACTCCTCCTGGCGCACCCTCCCCCTCACTTGCCGCTGAACGAGCACCCATGCTGACTGCACATGCGCGACCCCGAGCAGTACTGCCGGAGCAGTATGCCAAGGACTTCCCCCAGTTTGCAAAGGATCTGCTGCAGTGGCACATCAAGACCAATGGCGACCATTTGGTGGGACCCCGAGCAGCCGGCCTACTGCTCCCGGCCAACCAGGGTGCATGCCCGCCGTTATCCCCTGCCTACCCCCCTGCATTTTCCATGCCAGGAGCGGGCAGCTCGCCGGCCCGCAGCCCTGGCTTGGCTGTCAATGGCGGCGTAAAGCAGGTCCTGGCAGAAATGACGAGCAGCCACTGCCTTTGACCGGTGGTCAACGGCTGTCAACTCATGGCCCCCACGTTTGCGCGCGCATGCCACGCCTGATCTGCAGGTGCGCGACAACCCGACCTGGTTCGTGACGTTTGTTTGGTGCGAGGTGTGCATCCAGTTGCCCTTCTTCCTCATCGCCACATACGCCTACATTGCAGGTGGGCGTGGCTGGGCAGCAGGGGCCCGGTTTGAGCAAGCGAGGCTTCGCTGTTCGAGTGGGCTGGGTCCAAGGGTAACTGCGCTCCAAAGATTGGACTGATTATGTAGGCATTAGGTGGTCCTTTTTAGGAGCAGGAACTATCTCGCGTGCCGTCATTGAATGGGTCTCTGATTGAAGGGAGGGCGGCGGGTTCACGTGCCCGGAGGGCCCGCGGTGCAGGCTTGCTCGGGGGTTCTGGGAGCCGCCAACCCACCCCGGCTGCCAACAGAGCGGCTGCACGCACACGGTCGCCGCTGCATTCAGTTGGGGCCGGTTTGTCTATGTCCTCGACCCGTTATGCGCTGGTCCCAACGGCCCGCCTTGCACGCTGACCATTTGGCACGACCACGGCTTCAACCCACTTTCCCCCGGTTGAAACAGGCAAGAGCTGGATCCGCATCCCGGCCATCATGTACGGCGTCCACGCTGCCACCACCGTGCTGCCCATGCTGGCGGAGTTCCACCTCGCCAGCCATATCACCGCCGCGCAGAAGCAGGTGCGGGGGCGGGCGGCCAGGCGCGCGGCGCCGTGGGCCCGTCGGTCGACATGGGCGCCGCAAGGGCAGCTCGGCGTCGCTGCTGGCGCGGCAGCGGTGCTGAAATGCAGCCCCTCCCATCAGCCTTCGCACGTCAAAGGCCCCAACTTGGAGAAATTCGACGGCCCCAGCAGCCAGCGGGTCCTTTCGCTCCTCAGAAACCTGCACCCACATCCACCTTCTGCTGTTGTCCGCCCCCATCGACCGCTCTCTCCCTGCCCATCTCGACCTCCCTTACCTCCCTCCCTGCCCCTAAACACCCAAAACTCACGCGTCACCACCAAACGACGCGCGCTGTGTCGCGCATGTCATCCCGCAGGCGCTCATTGCCATGTATGGTGCCTACGCGGTGATCCCCATGCTGCTGGCCCTCAACATGGCACTCTGCAGGGTGCCCTTCCCGGCAGCCAAGAAGAAGAAGACCGCGTGACAAGGCGTTATGCTGCTCACCAACACGCGGCCGCGCCATGCAGGGGCGGAACGCCTCATGTGTAGCACGCGTGCGCGCGCGCGGCGGGGCCTTCCCTCGCCGCTGCGCCCAGGCGGCGCTGTGCGCTGCCACGGGTGGGCCCCTGCGGGCGAGGTGCAGGGCTTTGGTCGCGCCCTGGCGGGTGTGTTGGGAGGGGGGGGTTAATGACCGCTGGCGCTTTGCTTTATGGTCCGCCCTGGACTGCACCTGCTGACAGATATTAGTATGTCGAGAACCTCTAGCCTGAATCATAGGTGGTAATGAATGCAGCAGTGTGTGGTCTCTGTTCTGATTTAGGGCGCAAAGATGATGATTTGGAGCTGTTACAGGAAAAAAGGTCACGGTTACACCTCGCTTCCCAGCAAACCTGCAAAGTCGCAGGGGCATGCGGCCTGCAGACGTGCGAATGGTGCTGATGTGGCGCGCACACAGCCCAGTGGGCTCAGAATGGTCAAGGCATGGTGAATCGTGAGGCTCACGCCCCCGGGTTGAGGCAGGCTGGCTGCATTCCAAGTGGCAACAGTCCACGTTTCGACGCAATCAACAAATAAGAAAACACCACGATACACATGAGCGAATCGATCAGTACAATATTTACCATTGGCAAAAGGAAGGCGCCGCCGCTCGCGAAAGCAGCCGCGTGCAGAACGTTGCAAGCGACCCCGGTGCTGCCGCTGCCACGTCAGCAGCAGCTGCAGCAGATGCTGCTCGTCAACAAACGTTCCCACCAAAGCCGAGCGCCGTCAGAGGGTGCCCGTGGGCACATGGCAAGCCGGCCACAAGCAGGGGCGGAGGGGCCGGGGGCGCACAGACGCTATCTGTCGTCCGATTTGCGCACATCCAGGGAGAAGCGGACGTGGCCATTGTAGATCGCCTCGATGGGGGTCAGCTGCAAGCAGGCCAGCTCCCTGCGCAGGTTGTCGAGGCAGGCAGCGCAAGTGGTGAGGCAGAAAAGAAGCGTGGGCTTGGGGACGAAACCCCGGAGCTCGCAGTCTGACTCATCGACCCACAGACTGACCAACTGCTCCGCCGCGCGCGGGGCCGCGAGCGGGGCCGCCCCGCTCCGCCATGGCCTCGGCCCCGCGCGCGGGCGCCGCGGCCAATCGTGTGCGCCGGCGACGACGAATCCCCCCTGTTCTCGCAGCGGGCAGGCCCTAAGACACGCTGCCAGGATCGCACGCCCCGATCGAGCATGCCGACTTGGCCAGCACCTGGCCCACCTGTTGAGGTATTTCGCCGCCAGTGTTGCAAAGGGCCGCTGAGTCGGGTCTCCCCCATACACGTTTTTCACGAGAGCGTCCACCAGCTGGCTCCGCTCCCCTGAGGGATACAGGGTTGGGCGTTTTAGGGTTTGAAGGAGGCCGGGCGATGCGGGGGTCAGAGAAGGCGATGCACGGGAGGGGCGAACGTGCGAGGGCGAGCCGCGCAGCAGAGTAAGCTTGCACACGCAAGCGCGCGGCTGCAGGCATCTCCAGTTCATGTCACTGGCAGAACGCACGCGAAACAACCCCCAGTCAAAGTGAGGTCGAGCGTTCTTCGGACCCAGGCGAAACCAACGTCAACCGCCGTCGAAACGCCATCGCGGCGACGAAATCAACCCACACAAGAGCGTCCCCCACCCACCTGCCAGCGCGATGTCATAGGCCACCCAGCTGCCATATGTCAGCTGCTCCAGCTTCTTGAGCCACTTGCTGACGTGGACCTGGGGGGCGGTTGAAGATCCGGCAGATGAGCGGTCAGCTGGCAGCTGCATCTGCACCCAAGGGACACGGAAGCCTGGTGTGGCCCCTTAAGACGGTGTCAACCCAGCTGCAAGCGACGCGCGCAATGGGCAGAAAGCGGGCGCTTGTGGTGTGTCGATCCCGCAATCAACAGGGCTGGCGCGGGCAGGGGGCGGAGGGACGATGGGTGCGAAAGAGACTGGGTGCACGATCGGCAGAGTTGGGCTTTGAGAGGGGGTGCGTCGCACCTGCACCCCCTCCTTGTATACGCGCCGCTCCATGTCTTTGTAAAAGTGATCGGTGTAGAGCAGCTGCTGGAACGCCGACGCTGACGACCTGCGCAGCAGAATGGGCAACACAGCCCGCGGTCGTTGGCAGGTCACAGGGTGACCAGGCGTGCCGATGTGCGTCACCCAAGGCTCTGTGCTTTGCGTGTGAAGCGCCGAACACCGCCCGGAGGCAGACATGAGAGCATGATGGGATGTCTGTCTTGTGCCAACAGCCAGCCGCCCGAGGGCCGATATGCCACCGCCAGCTGCCCTCCAGCTGCCCCGCAGCTGCCTGTCAGGCGCCCCACCTGTCCTCCGGTTTCAGGCGGTTGATGACTAACCACATGTGCAGCACCAGCAGGCTGTGGGTTGACATGAATGCGTCAGGGTCGAGCCCCAACGCTGGCGGCGGTTTTGGGGTTGCAATGTTTTGGGGTTGTGAGGTGGATGGCGTCAGCTCAAGGAAAGGGTGTGCATGTGAGACTGTACATGTTGAGGAGGCAAGGTCATTATTACATCAGCGGCGCTTTTTGCCCAATGTATGAGTGCGTGCACGATGATGACCATTCTGGTCCCTATGCCTCTCTCAGATGCGAAGTGCGCCCTCTGCTCTTGCTCCCGGCTGCTCCGCGGCTGCTGCTGGCCCCCACCGCTCCCTCGTTACCAGCCTGCGGCCGCCCCCCTCAACCCCCACATGCGCATGACACTCTGAGCCTCCCTTGAAGGAGCGCGCTGCCAGGCCGCTGCACGGCACGCACAGCATGCAAAGCGCGCGCAGCGCGCCCACAGGCGGCCGTGTGGCCCCTCACCCTCGTAGAGCCTCCCGTCCTCCGACTGCTCAGTGATCGCTTGGTATAGGATGGACGCCCCGTTTGCTAGCTGCTGCTTTTGGCTGTACGCCCCAACCAGGCGCAGCAGCCCCCGCCCCAGCGCGTTGCCCTCCAGCTGCGGCGGGTACTGCACGCGGCCGCGGTCTGCCTGCAGGCTCTGGGGCGGGCTTTGAAACGAGTCCTTGAACCGCGTGGCGCCCTGGGCGCGAGGGGGCGGGGCGGCGATGGATGCCGGGCGGCGGGTATGCTTTTCTGGCTGGCGGCGCTGAATAGTGGGTGGTGCCTGGGATGGCAGCAGTGTGCTGCAGTGGGCAGCAGCGCGCGCCGCGCTGGTTGTAAATGCACCGCCGGCTGCAACCCAGCCGGTCCAATTATGTTTAATACACCGCGAGTAATCACCTGCGACTGTGTAGACAAAGCCGCGAGCTGCCCAGGCCAAAGCTGCTGGTGTCCACAGCCCGCCAGGTGCCGCAGCTGCAGCAGCGCCCTCGGTAGGACCTGCCCGGATGATGATGCCATTGCGCGACTTGTGTGCGCCCTCTATGATGCGCTCCTAGATCACCACAGGCCGTGTGCGTCACTTGTGTGTTGAGAGACTGGATAGCAGTGGGTGCAATTAGGTATACAGAGAGTAGTAGACGCTGGTATTTATTTACAAGGCAAAGCAGCGTTGCCAGAACATTGGCGGAAAGGCGAGACAGTCCTCAGCGGCACCACACACCACAGCGCATTACCCGACAGCCGGCGCCAAGGCGCACGGCAGATGTGCACACATTGCGTACGCGCGCTCCACAGGAATCCACACCCAACTCACAAAAATACGCATGCAGATCGAGCGAGCGGCGCGCAGCGTGGCGCGCTGTTGACACGACATTGAGAGGGGCCAAACTGCAGCCCGCGGCGAGGCAAAAAACGCCCCAGTCGCTCCGCCAAAACTGTACCATATACAAGTGCGCAGGACCAAAAACCATGGTAAGCGACCAATGTTGTCCACGAGTGCGCACGGCTTGCAGCTGCCGCGCCGACGCCGCCAGCAGCCACGCAGCCGCGGCTGAAGACCCGCGCGCCGCCGCATGCGCGGCTGCGTCGGCCGCACCACCAACGGCGGCCGGGGCCGGCGCTGCGGCTGCAGCCCCGACGGGCCGCGCCTGCTGCTGCTACCGCGACACCCCGGGATCGTCCGTGAAGAGCTGCCGCAGGAAGTGGCGCAGGCGGCCCTCCCATCCGGGGCCTGCATAAGAGCCAACGGAAATCGAGGGGGGCGGTGGCGGGGGTGAGAGGGGAGGAATGAGGGAGCAGAGGGCGCTGGACTGCACAAGACGCGAGGCAGGGGAGGAGGGGCACGCCCCCCACGGATGCACCGCGCAGGCACTGCAGCAGCAGCACCCGAGCCGGGGCCTGCGTCGACCGGGCCCTGCTGCGCAGGAATTGCGGCGTTGGGAAGAGACGAAACCCTGGCGGCTAAAGCATCAGCCGTGGCAGCATCGGCCGCGGCAGCAGCTGCGGCAGCAGCAGCAGCAGCGGCGGCAGCAGCGGCAGCAGCAGCAGCAGCGGCAGCAGCAGCAGCAGCAGCAGCAGCAGCAGCAGCAGCAGCAGCAGCAGCAGCAGCAGCAGCAGCAGCGGTCGCCGAGCTGCAGATGCAGCCCGCAGTTACCCCCGCCTCACCTCTCAAGTTCTGGCGGTTGGCCGCCGCCGCCGCAGCGGGGTCCACCGGCGGCGCAGCAGGGTAGACTGTGGCGGTCACTCCAGCCAGACTCGAGTCCCTGGCCTGCTGAGTGCCCGCCGCCGCCCCGCCCGCCGCCGCCGCCGACGAT